TAATGGGTTTTGCAATCCAATAAGTCCTAAGTGTAGAATAGAGGGATGCCACACCACTTGAATGACTGCTGCTTAGTAAGTTGAGCTCCCACCATTAACATGGTCTGTGTGACTTATGCCGTGTCGTCACTGGGATTTTCTACTGTGCACCTACAAGCCCCAGGATAGGCACAGAATATACCAATGTAGCTTCTCTGACAGAAACATGCTCTGGTGAAAACCACATCTACGTTAGTGGCTTATCTAGGCATGGCTATACTAATGACCAAAATCCTATTTTAAGACCTTAGAAACATAAAGGTGCTGAAACCTCACAGCAAGTGTCTACAGATCCCAGCACCCAAAATATTATTTAGAAGGGCAATGCTTAGTTTTTATGTTCCATTTTGCTAGCTGTCAGAGAGAAGCAGCAGTCTCCACAGTGCAGCTCCTGTTGGGCCAAAGTTCCATGCAGAAAGGTAGGAATGTGCCTGCCATGATATGAGGCATTAGGGAATTGCCATCTAAGACAAAATTAGTGAAACCTGAGATGGGAGCCTCCTTTGGGGGAAACAATAAAAGGTGTAGAACAACTTAATGATGGAGTGAGTGAGGTAGGTTTAGTTGAACAGTCAGCTATGCTACTTGACTGAGATCAGAGACTTCAGGTGGCTCAATACAAAGCGTTTGATTTGGAGAATAAATAGAGCATAAACACTAACATTGAAAAAAGTTTCCAGAGGTGAGCACTTAAAAAATACAAAGCTCACCAACAAAGGTGGTGGAGTTCCCTTTAAATCAAAATTGAACAGTTCATCTTAATTAAAATGAAACCAAGATTGGACATATTTCTAAAAGAGATGCCCCTGCTCAGCCAGAAATTGAATCATAGAGTTCTCAGGAATTTGTTGTTCAGGGGGTTAGAGCACTGCTCCCTGCTAGCCTTAAAATCAACTCCAAAGGCCATATTACTAGAACATATTTCTTCCATAGTAAGGGCTGGAAAAGTAGAAGGATAATTTGAAGAAAAAGATAAACCAAGGAGTTTCTGGGACTAGTTTGTATGTCTGTGGGCACGTCTACACAAGATTGTAGAGTGCAGTATAGTAATTCTACAGTGCATTAGCATGTCATGGTGAAAGCCATGCTAACGCACTAAGGCATAATAGAATTGGTCTGCTGTGCATTACCGTTACCTAAAACACGTGCACTGGTGCTGCTGTGCAGTAGTGCTGATTACAGTTATTAAACAATGCTCTGTAATTATACCACATTAATGCATGTGTAGACATGCCCACTGGGCTCTGCTATAGTTGCTCACAAAATGTGCTGGTCACTGCAGAGATGCAGGAGGGAAGAAGGATCTGAATCTTTCCGCTATAGGATTGCATGATGCCATGTCTTGTTTTTGTGAGGTTTTTGGACATTCCAAAATAATAATAATTCTTCCCCCCCTTCTCTGCTGCTCGAAAAAAGATAGCAGTCTACACATGCATTAAGGCACTTTTCCTAATGTGTGTTAAATTTAGCACCTCCAGTGTGAGGTACTAAACAAATGTGTATTAGGCTGCCGTAATGTGCAGTAATGAATGCGAACAGTTTTTAAGTTACGCTTAATGCGCAGTAGCCTATTTTACTACATTTTAGTATAATCATATGCTTTTTTTATGTGACACTTTACTGCACAGTAAAATAGGCTACTGCACATTAAAGCGCACATGTACAACAGGGATTTTGAGTTCTGACTCTCAGCACTAGATAGCCGTCTCCCTGAACAACACCTCTTGCACCTGGCAAAAAAATTCCCAAACATACTCCTCAAAATGTGGGCCAGAACTTTGGCTGTGTTTTGTCATGGTATCACTGGAATCAGCTAATTCATACTGGCTGAGGATCTGGCTCATCTTTTTAAAAAAAGATCTAAGCCAATACCAATGAATACATAGTTCTCACATTGATTTGTAAAAAGTACTATAAATCTTTCATAACTATATATTAAAAATGTCATCCTGTGATAATCCTGGTAAGGATCCTAAGCTTGCTTCTCTCTAGTAAGAGAGAGATTTATGGTGACTTTGTGTGCCCAATTTTTATGCACATGCATGCAGTATCTATCATAATATTTACACTAGACAATTTAACATTAAGCCTAGTTTATCCTTCGCAGAGCTGCTGTGCATTCTAATTGACATATTTCAAGGTCTCCTGTTTCATTGCAAGATACCATCTTTTTGTTTTGGGCGGTAGATTCACTTTAATAAGTATGACATTGCAACTAAGCCTGACTTCACAGTTATTTGGTATAATTTACATGCAAATTAGGACTTCACATTCTGGCAGTCTTTCTTCTTCTCAGGTTCAGTGCATTGGATTTCATCATTGTGCAGTGTGGTCCCTTTCAAGGTCATTTCTGTGTTTGAGTTCGCACTACTTATGCCCACTTGTATTGTATAAATTGAGGGCTAAATTGAACAGTGGTATAAATTATGGCAATCCTATGGAAATCAGTAATACTCACTCACTAATAGCAGTGGTTAATTTGGCTCTTTGTGTTTTATTAACTGCTGCAAACTTGTGCCATCCTAGTCACAGAAGACTGGAAGAGACTGGCAGTGAGGTACAGAGCCTTTCATGTACAGGTGATCAGTCCAAAATCATCTCTTGACACTGCCATTGGATTCCAGTGTGGAATGACGTGGGTATCTTAGTTTAGTTCCAAATGAATGCACGTCTCGTAAATCAGCAACCAGAATGAGCACTAGCTGGCTTAATTTTATAAACTCACCAAAGTGTTTGAGGAGGAGGATTCCAGAGCAGAGGATTCCATTTTCTTAGACTGATGGTTCAGCACCTTTTCTCCAGAACTAGTTTTACTTTGGACCACATCTGGCAGTCCTGGCCTGGGCAGAACTCCCAGTGAAAGAACTGGTAATTTTTCTGAGGATCTGGGCCTGCCGTCTGCATTGCAAGCTGGCTTCGTATGTTCCAAAGCTACTTACCATAGGAATGTAGAGTTATAACAAAAAAGCCAGGTTTTTATGGTATTGTCTTTCCCAGTAGTAATTTTTCACTAATCAGTGCAGAAGAGATTTTTTTTCTTTAAGATTGGCTGTCACCTTTGTGACGTTGAGTTAGAGCAGGTGGCTTGCTGTTCTTGCATCAAGACTGACTTAATCTTCTCTGTGTTTAAAATACAACAAAACCTGTCAGCAATAATTATCCAGGAATCTGAACATGTTTTTTTCACTAACTGCTTATTGTTGGATTATCTGGAACAAAAGTAAATATAATATTCTTGGACAACCTGAGTTTAGAATACATTTGGATATCAAAGCATTGGTTTAATTATGAAATTCAACTCACACAGGTTAAAATCAGAGCAATACATGCTTCACTGAGAGGTTTTTTACAGAAAGACCTCGATCACCACTGATTTATTGTTGTTATGCAAAGCATGTAAGAAGCTGTTTGTAGATATTGGTTTCTTCCAGCCTTGAGAGAGACAGGGAAGCAAGGTCAAGAGAAGAAATAGCATTTTATGAAAACTACCCTAAAACTGATCTTTTGACACATCTCAGCATACACTGTCTCTCTTAAAATGCCTTTGCTTCTGTGCTGAGGTTTTTAGGAGATAAAGAGAAACTGAAGTGACAAGAATTGTGCTCCCAGTGTTAGATGTGAATTGTTTTATTCAATTTGAAAACCCAGCATTTTGGTCATTCGGTATTGTAGCTGTTTTTAAAACATTACCAGGATAAAATGTAATGTGCAGAGCCAAACCCTTGGCTCTGCTGGAATCACTGAATGAGAATTTTATCATTGGAACTATCATTGGAGTTTATCCCTCGGCTATTACTCAAACCTTTTCTCATACAAAGGATTAGGGATCAGATCCTTTGTTCTTCCCAAGTCGCTTTGCACTGCTCAGACAGTGAAGAATGGTTGGATTCTAGCTAGACCAGCCATTGGAGACTTAACTGGATGGAGGTTATCTGGATAGAGGTGGACTCCCTGTTAGTGTAAAGCCAACAGCTGAAGGAAAAAAGAGAGAATTTGGTGAGCAGGACAGACTCTCCATCACACTGTTGACCCTCCGCTGGCATACAATTTCATAAGAAACCTCAAGGCTGGTTCAGCTTGTGCTGAGGAAGAACCAAGGAGCCATAACTAATTGTCTGGTAGCTCATCACCTGCCCAGTCCACTTTAAATAAGTAGCAAAAGGGAAAAAAAAGAAATGCAAAGCACTTCCCTCCCACCCAGCACATTTTCCTATAGTATGGTTTCATATTGCTATCAACAGCGTACTGTTTTACCAAAACATATCCACTAAAATATTTCAGTTGCAGAAGATGATGGCACTAGTCTTGACATTCTTCTTCTGTGAAAAACAGTAGTTTAATAAAACACCTTCTGTTGCAGGTTGGCTGTGATCGTAGCAAAAACCTTGTGGACATTTGCGGAGAAAAAGAATGCGAGGCTTTTGTCTGTGATGCCTTGTCTGTGCCAATTCGAAGTGGTTCTTGTGATGCCTGCATTTCCATTGCTGTAATCCACCATTTTTCAACAGCAGTAAGTCGATGCTTTCTTTAGTTGCCATTCCTATTTCTTTAGAAATCCTAACACTTTCTATGGGGTTGAGTACTAAGAAGATAGTGTGATGAACAGGTTGATACTGTTAGATGTGCTGCATCTTGAACTTATTGTTATTAATTTAAGTTTAATATGTATTTAGGTTACTTTCCTTGTAAGATTTTCATGGCAGGAGGTGTCTGCTTTTTTTCTGTGCAGCTCTAGCACAGTAGGAATGGAAACTCCAGGCACTAATGGTAGTAGTAGTAATTACAATAATAAATTGTACTGCAGTGAGACCCAGTCAGTGATTCCTACTGCATCTTTTTCTGTAAGAGCTTAGGGCCAGATCCAAAAATGCATTCTGTTACCTGAAATGTAACTGAAGCAGAACTGAGTTGCCTAAGTCTAAGCAGACGATCCACAAAAGCTCTCCTTAGGTACCTGAGAAACACCTGGCACAAAGTTTTTGTCAGAAAACTTATTTGGGCACCTAAAGTTCTGCTGCTGCCCATGTTCAGAATTGTTGTAATCTTGGCTGAACTTAACACCCTATCACCTCTCTCCTGCCTAGGGCTCTTTGGGGCACACAAAGTGAAACTGTGCTTGTGTTGCTGAAGGGGCCTGATCTGGTGGCATGCTCAGAACACAGGCAGCACATGCTGGCAATGCTGAGTTCAGCACAAAATACAGCAGCCATGGCCACTTCACCCTAAAACAGGTAGAGAAAGAACAAATGGAGCTGTAGTGGTAGTGATAGCCACCTTTTATGTCATATCCTAGTGGTTAGTGCACTAACAAAGGAAAGTGCCTTCCTCAGCCTGCAGGGATTGAAACCAACATCTCCCACCTCCCCTTATAGTGCCCTGGCTACTGGCTGGCCTGAGATGGGGGCATGCTGCACTCCTTCTGTTGAAACTAGGATGCATGTTTCATGGGGCCAGAAAATGAATAGGCAAATGGAAGCGTGACCCTTGCTCAATGATGACGGCACTTCCTTGGAAGAGGGGAACCATGGAATTGTGGCCCCTGTTTCAGGGGCTGCACCTATTGAAGTCATTGCATAAAGCATATAAGCAGTGTTGGGAGCAAAGACCAGAATCACATCCCCCACCCCTTGTTGAGTTCCTCCTCACTGGGGTAGAGGCAGGCTCCCAGTTGTGTTGTGTAGACTGAGATTTCAGGCTGTGAATCCCAGCCTCACGTAGGTTCCAAAGTGTGGCAGAGGGCCAGGATTTTGGACACACCCTACTCCATCATTTCCTATTTGCTGGCTTAAGTCTTCCTGCTGTTCAGCATGCTGGCTGTTGTGAGTCCCACTCCTAGGTGCCACATTCACTGTGTAAAGCATTTAGGTGCCCCTGAAAGTTGGGTATGGATCCCAGTATGGATCTGAACTTTATAACCTAAGCAGTTGAAGAGGAAGAGATGAAGATGTGCAAGATGGGAGGACAGGATTAAAGAGAGAGGATCTAACCTGGTATAGGAAGCTGTGTGAGCATGTGAGATGAACTGATATCTTGCTACTATCTTTAGACATTCCCTTATGTCTTGTCTGTTTCTTGCCAGTTGCCCTGTTTTCTCCAGCTACTTTCCAATGCTCACTGTGTTCTGTCTTTGGTGATGAAAGATTACAAAAGCTCTGCATTGTATTTTCAAGGTGTCCTCAGGCCTGCGAGTCTCAATTGGCATCACTATTCCTGTTATTTTTCCCATGCTGTGTGCAGACCCCTGTTGTTCCATTCTGCTTGAAGAGATTACTTTGATTGTTACAGATACTGAGCTACATCCTGTTTTACCTTTACATGCCTAAGTGGCACTTACATAGCCACATAACCGCAATTTTTGGCACTCATATACAGTTTGGAATCTATTTCCACCTGTGGTGGACTAGGATCACTCAGGTACGTGCAAACCTCCCAGAAGTAAACTGGAAGAGAAAAGGGGGGGACTAGGACAACCATCCTCTGACATTTAGCCCAACAGCCTACAAATTAGGGCACTTGCCAGAGTGATTGGAGAAGTCAAGTTCTAGGTTCCCCTTATGCTGTTTCTCCCACATCCCATCAAAGTGCTGTAACCCCCAAGCTTTTTCCAGCCCTGTTCTTGAAGTAGGCCTGCTTGGCAGGAAGGGAAGCTAATGTGAGGCCAGGAGGAAGAGAGCAAGTCAAGAAAAGCAGTTCACAGAGATGGATGTTGCCCTGGAGGAGAGGGCGCTCTAGCTTCTGCTGCAATGGCTCTTCTACACCTTGTATTTGATAATATTTGGATAAAATGGCTAAACAGCTGTGGGATAGTTTCTGCCCTGTTTGAGTCTCCCTTTAAGCCAACTCCTTATCTACCCCACAGCTGCAACATTGATCCATCCTGTCAAGTTTGGCTAGGAATTTCCCATGGGGTCTGCTATGAAAAGTTTTGCTTAAATCTTGATAAAACAAGTCCTTTATCAAGATTTAGCCATACTATCCATACCATATTATCCTTCTCCTGTTATCTGTTATCTTATCATAAATGCTGTTACAGGCATGTCACAGTGATTCTGTTTCCTCAGACCAACCTGCAGCCAGAGTTCAGCCTACTAAGCATGCTCAGAAGGGAAGTGTAGGGTGAGTGTAACTATGTAGAATCCAGACTTTGTGTAAATGCCAGAAATTGCAGTTCTGTGGCTATTGAAGTGCCCCTGAGGTGCTTAAAAGGAAACTAGAGTTTATCCAATAGGGCGCCTATTCATATACATTGAGGCTGTTCTGATGCGCTGTAAGTACAGTGCATCAAAGCAGACTCAGTTGAGTCTGGTGATGGAGTGTGGTAATTACCACACTCCATCAGACTCCAGCGTCGCATGTATCGGTGTCCCCATAGGTAACTGGTAGGGGGTGCACATGCCGCCCCGGATGGGGCCAGTGCCCCCCCGATGGACAACACTGATGCTGTCAGTAGGGCTGGTGCCCCCCCCTGACAGGGCCACTGCTGTTGGAGGCTTCTGTGGGTATCCTCCCCCAGATTCAGGAGGTACCAGTCACTCATGAGCATCCCCATGCTGAAAAATGACAGTGGGGGAGTTTTAACTGGAGCTCAGCAAACAAGCTTTAGTTAAAGCACCCCTGCCACCATTTTCCAGCACGGAGACGGTGATACATGTGACTCTCTGGGCACTTTAATTAGAGCAGCTCTTGGAGCCATTTTGATTAAAGTGTCCCCTACCCCCTCACTGCTTCCTGGAGTATGTGTATAAATACCCAATGTATTTTACTTTTAGGTTTGCTTAAAACATGGCGGTAGAGAGAGGAAGGCTTTTGTGAGATTGGATTCAGTTCAAGTCAGCCTGCAGTTTCCTCTTATACCTTGGATACATCTTCTGGTCTTTCCATGCTGTTTTTTCACTTGTAAAATGGGGATAATAGTACTTGCTCCTGTCTATTTAGACTGTAAGCTTTTCCTAGCAGGGACTGGGTGTTTTATAACACAGGCACAATGGGCCCTTGACCTCAAGTGGCATCTCCAGACAATACTGTAATAATAATAGCAATAATATTTGTGCAGCTGATGTTTTCACATATAGTAAGCAAAAGTAGCTCCCATGCTGACTTGGACCAGTTCACATGTCTAGCACATTCAGAATTTGACGGATTTATGAAATAATTGCTGCTTCTCAGGTCCAAGCTGGAGGAGGGTGACACTGTATGCTTGCCTGTCTCAGACAGGGAAGATATTGTTATAGAACATGATTTATTTAAAACAAACAAACAAACAAAACCCTTCATTTTTCTGAACTGGGGAGCAAGCAGAGAGGCAGCATTCTCTGGCAGCATTTACTGCAGCAGCAATGTTGTTGTCAATTCTCTTCTCCTATGTTCCTGTTTGTATACTAACTTCAGACTGGCTCCTTATGCTTTTTCTTTTCTAGGAAAGAAGACTAGCTAGTCTTCATGAATTAGCCCGGCTTCTAAGGCCTGGTGGAAAGGCACTCATTTATGTCTGGGCAATGGAACAAGAATACAACAACCAGAAGTCTAAGTATCTTAAAGAAAAGAAAGCTAAGAAAGGGAAGGAGGAGGAAATTGATACTGGTGTTGCCCAGGGACCAGTCGGTGATCAAACACCTGACAACAGCACCCAAGACTTGACAGTCTCTGATGGAGTCCTTAATGATTCTGAGGACAAAGGCTGCATTGCAAAGCAGGTCATTAACTCCAGTTTGCCTGTTCACACTAACAGGACTTCCTTTCATTCACAAGACTTACTTGTTCCCTGGCACCTCAAAGGTGGCACTAAAAAGAAAGGAGAAAGTATCACAACTCTGCAGCTCCCAGCTGGCTCTAACAAATTGCAAGAACTCAGTCCTGTTTTCCACCGCTATTATCACGTGTTCTGTGAAGGAGAACTTGAAGCAGCCTGCAAAACCCTGGATGGTATAAGAATTCAAAGGAGTTACTATGATCAGGGAAACTGGTGTGTGGTTCTTGAAAGGCAGTAACCAATCATACTTCCTGCTGTCCATTTTGAATAGACACCTGGGACAGTGTCCTCCAACACTCTTTTAAATTATACAAATAAACTGTTATTTTAAGGCATTAGTGCTGGGTATTGTGCCTCCTTGTGTTGTAAACTTTGGTATTACCCTAGGGGAAAATTTATTTTGCTTCATTGAATCCAAGTAGAGAGGTAAGAGCAAGAGGAAAATACCAGTACCATGGAAGCCAGTGCCATGACTCTTGTGGCCTTTATAGGGCCAGGATTTCACCCATGACGTATAGTTTTAAAGGCAAAAGGGCCTGATTCCCTACCACTTCTCTTTCTTTCCTACCCACTCAAACTCCTTGTGTTTCCCAGGGTTTCCATGATTGTTCACCAACATGCAGCTTGGCTGACAGAATGAAGATTTCCAAGACATGACACATTTGCCCAATTTGAATTTTCTAGCCAGCTTTATTTTTAATTATTTTTGCCTTCAAGATGAATAATTTATCTGTCTTGCCTAGCAGTAGCACTCTGTTATTGTGAAAGCAGAAGCTAAAAATTCTGAAAGTTCAGACTTTATGAGCAGTGCAAAAAATGTTCAGTGCACTCTTGAGGACAGATGGGAGTGATTTCAACTCCCTAAGTTTTGGAACTAAAAAGCTGCATTTACTTTATCAAGAGCAAACAACATCTTGTGTCTGTACTTGTGGTCAGTACTCCTACTGCCTCACCAAGGAGGTGATATAGCAGCCAAAAGAGTGGTCGTTCTATGCAATATTCTTTAAAAAATGGATCAACTTATGTTTTGTGAGCAAAATGCTAGTGGCATTTTTCTCCTTTAACAGTGTTAATATAGGAGTGCTAGTTCCTCACTTCCTAAGCTTTGACTTCACTAACACTTTTTAAAATCCCTCATCCTTATCTTTCCACTGGTGCAGCTTTAATGGTGGTAGCAAAAGTGAGAGCCCTAATCAAGTTTAGGATGATCCATGGCTTTTTGAACCACTGTCAGATTGAGTAGGACATGCATCTGTACTGTTAGTGGAGCTGTAATGGTAGAAAGCATAGGCATACCTTAGACATCCCATGGTTCCAAGTCTATAGGGAAGTTAGTGATTAGTGTATTTTAATAGGACTGTTAAGAAACATGATAATGTCAGCCTGTAAGGAGAACATTAGAAGATAGAGTACTGTATTATACAGGATGCCAATGGTAGTATTGTTTCTATTGTGATAATGCATAGCTGTGCATTCAGGACTTCATTTTACAGGGCACTGTACAACACCTGGAGTAAGTAAGTGTTTACAATCTAAATGGATAAGAAAAACACAAAATGGGAACAAAAAACAAACCATGGAGAGGTGAAATGTCTAGTGTCACTGATAGAGATGGGAACAGAACTCAAGTCACAAGTCTGTGTCCTAGTCCAGTATCCTCTCATTGGACATCTCTGATCTTAGCATTTTGTATTTTAGGGTAGCTCAGGCTTTATTCGCCTGCCTTCAGGACCTTAATTAACTCTTCTTGTCCTGGTCCAGTTAAAACAGGTTTGTCCATCCTATTAAAAGCAGGTAATACCTATAACTTATGAAATCCATGTTGGTTTCAGACCAGTCCACACTGGAGTACTTCACACTGTAGGCTGCAGCCCATGGACAGCGAGCAGTACAGTCACCCACACTAAAGAGGAGATGTAAGCATGGCCCCTAGGCACCACAATAATATTACTATTGTGGCGTATATTTAGTCACTACAGCAACGCTAGCTTGGAGGGAGACTTGAGCACATCTGAGCAGCGGGGAATAGTAGACAGATATGAGATGGGATCATAAACAGACACATCATTACTCAACCTGGCAGCATCCTTCTCACTTGGGGCGAGTAATTTTATTTTTGACTGGTAAGTAAAACTAGTTTTCTCTTTCATGCTGACTGTTCGCACAAGGACAAAGTGAGTAGATTTGTGGCTTAGCTTGTAAATTTTCATAACAACTTTGCAAGGTGATTAGCTGGTTCCCAGAAAACATTTCCAGAATGGTGGAAAAATGATAACAGAGGTAGTTGTGTCCTCTCCTGACCTTTTTCCTTGTCCTTCCCTCTTTGTTTCCTTCGTATTTCCTTTCCTCCTGCTCTTTCTGCTCCTTTATTTATCCTCTTCCTTTCTGTCTCTCTCCTTTTCTTTCCTCTTCATTTTTCTCCTGTCCCCATACTCTTAGGCATTTTGGGGTTTTTTCCCAAATGTCCCCTAGAATAGTGGTTTTCAACCTCTTTCATTTGTGGATTCCTAAAAAGTTTTTAATGGAGGCGCAGACGCCTTTGAATTATGGTTGTGGGTATTCACACACTGTTGATTGTTCATAGTCATCTCTTGTGCACCCCTTAAATGTAGTCTGTGGACCCTCAGGAACACAGGTTGAAAACCACTGCCCTAGAGCCAACACTCACAATTGTTCATGACAGCTGATACTGCATTCAACCCACTAGACGGCATGCTTGGAGGGAAAGGTACAGGTCTGGAAAGGGCAAACTGAGAACATGTAAAGTGATCATTGTGGTATTATATCAATGAAAATATAAAAGCTAATACAGTAGTTTAAACTGGCACTATTAAATGCTATATATTTGCCGCTGCTATAGCAAAACTGCTGCTGTACAGCTGCATAAATATCACTAATAATATACCATAGTTTGTCAAAGTTAAATACTTAGTGAAATACATATGTCCCTTTCAGTCATATTTTTCAATACTTAGTGCACACAGTTAGCAAGAGGTTTTTAAAACTGCCCAGCTCCCTTGGTGACATGGCACAAAGGCCATGTCTTTGTTTTATGTTTGTATGGCATCTAGCACAAAGAAGTCCCAGCCTATAGGTGCTACAGTAATCCATAAAATAATTCCTGTTCTGATGCCTCAATAGGAACTTCAATCTTCTGAAAATCTAGCTTCAATTCTGAAGCCTGAGCTCTTGAAAATCTGTCTTTGGCTCTCTTCTCCAGGGGTCTATCCTGTGTTATCCATTCTTACATTTAAAACTATATATATATTTCCATACTGATGTGGCTCCCACAAGGGAATAGAAACATACTTCCTATTCTACAACCTTCAAACAAACTAGGTTTGGGTATTTATTCAGTATTACTTTTTATTTATAAAGGTGTTTTTCTTTGGAGTTCCTAGATCATCCATCATCCCACATGCCTGTTCTCCACGGGTTACTTTTAGCTTATCTTGAGCTGTATTTACTCAAAGAATATTCTCCAATGCAGGATAGAATAAATGTGTTGTTGTAACCTGCATGACCATTTGTTCAGCAGTGCTGGGCTCCTCCTGGGCCTGTGACAGCTGCTGCATTTGCCTGCAGGTGCATTTCCTTAAAGGCATGTAATTTAGTGGTGAGAAATGCAAGCACCATTCAGTATTCTGACTAAAGCCCTGTTGTGAAAGAGTGAGTTAAGTTCACAGTGTTCTTGATCCTGCTGGGCGCACACACCCCCATCTAGCAAAGCGCTTAAACACATGCTCCATTGGTTCTATCTGGCTTTAAGGTGGTGTGACAGTCTGGTCAGTCAGCCTAGACCATGAGGGTACACATTCCCAATGAGGTGAGATAATTACAGGACAGCTAAATATATCGGTAAAACCCTGCCTAACTTTAATAATTTGGGAAAACACGATAGTGGAACTGAGGAAGACAGAGCAGAACATTGAAGTTTAACACATGCTATCTCCTGACACTTCGCACTCTCGCCCCTTTCTAGGGCTTACTTTACAGTCCACAGCTGGTTCCAGCAGCAGGCAGCAGTCCCCACTGTCTTTACAGTGAACTCCTTGTTCAGCAGTGCTGAACTTGCAGGTCTTGGCTTCTCTGCTGCCCTCAGCAGGTTGCCCCACTGCTCTGGGCCTCTCTGCTGCAGTCCCCAAGTGGCAGACTCCTTCTGTCTCCACTATCTGGGGCTTCACACTAGTAGGCAAATGTGGACTCCAGCAGGCTGGCAGGGACTCACACAAGCATTCATGGGCCCATGCATGCTCTAGCTCCCCGGTTTATATCTCTTTCCACATCCAGCTTTTGCAAAAGCCAGAGTTCTCCAGAAAGGGATTCTTCCAGTGCCATCCAGAAGGCAAAGTGCAAGTAGCCAGGCCACACCCAGACCCTCTGCAATCCCCTTACCCCTTTCCCTGCCAGAACAAAACTCATCCAAAGAAACCCTTTCAACATAATATCCAAACAAACAATACAACCCTATAATCATCACAGTTGGGTATGTGTTTAAGTGCGTTGCATAGAGCTTAAGTGCACCTGCCAGAATTGAGCCCTTAATATTCCTTCATCATCCTAGTTTTCCTAAGTGATACATTCTCTCAGGACCTTTTACAGCTCTCTGAGGACTCTGCTGCTCCCTCTGGCCTAATGGCAGAGAATGTGTTTTTCTTTGGGAAAACAACCTGAGTTATTATCTTAAGTATTTTGTTGGGCTTAGAGGGTATTAGAGTCTTGTAAACAAACAGGCAGAGTCTCTCCTACTTTTTTTACCTTAATGAAATTCCATTGGTGAAGAACTCCTTAAGATTAAATTCAAGCCCAGAATTTGTTAATAATTTATCATCACACCAAGAAAACCAGTTTTCCCAAAACCCTGATAAAGGTATTCCTTTATGATGATGCCCTAGCCTGATGAAACTTTGAGATGGGATTTATCAAACCAACCCTGGTAGATACCAGCTGCTGCCCTCCTTGGAGTATACTGCTGTTAATAGTAAAGTTTACAGCCCAAAGATCTGATGCCACAAGTTGCTTAAGTATTTGCTACCTTCCCAAGACTTGAGAAATTTATTCCTCTCTCATAAGCCACACAGCACTTCCCTGAATTGGACCTTGTGTGAAAGAGTTCTTTGATTTATAGTCAAGCATGTGCATTTTGCCAACAACTGACACTTCCTGCAATGTCCACTACCCCTGTTCTGCTCTTGGGACTGTAACAAGCCTGAGACCGCTATGATCCTGAATCTGATTTAAAAAGTTTAAGGCTTCATGGTTCAGCATTTTTCCCATTAATAAATTTCCCTTTGGGGGCTATTTAAATAACCAACCCGTTTCAATAAATAGTAATTGG